TGTTTTGGATGTGCTCCCCCCATGGGTGCCCATCACTCTCCCTTTCATCCTGTGGGTGCTGCTGTCCATGAAAGGAGCACACAGCCCTGAGGCCCAGGGGAGGGTGTGTGCAGCAGGAAGAACCAGCTCTCCAGCAGAGATTCAGTTTGTGGGGGCTGGAAGCATCTTTTAGGCTGCTTGTTGGGGTGACTGAAATAACGCTCAGGGCACAGGGACCAGCAGTGTCCTCCTCCCCTCCTTGTGTCCTCGTTGGTGCCCCAGAGGGTCCTGGTGACCCCACCCCACAGTGCCCCTTACCAACAGGTCCAGACAAGTTCTCTGCTTTGTCTCGCAGTTCTGATGCCACTGCTGGATCACTGCAGTGTGCAGCCTGATGCCAGGGTGGCCTCCCACCCCTTCTTTGGGCTGAATGCCCAGATCAGGTAAGGCCTGGGGATGTTCTCAGCAAAGGGAAGGGATCGATTTTGCTGGTGGCGGGGATCTTGCATGCTCAGACAGCTAATGGAGGAGCTTGTTTGGGTTCCCTGAGCAGGCTCATTTGATAATGCCTCATTTGATAATCCTTTTGATAATGGATTTCCATAATGCCTCTGGATCGGGCTGACAGACCCACCTCACCTCAAGGTGGACGGGTCAGAAGTTCACCCCAGAGGCTGCTGGTGTGTGCAGGGAGGGAGAGCGACGCGCGTGTCCTCGAAGGGCAGGCTGTCTCCAACCAGTCTGCGTTCCCTTGACACGTGGTCTTCCTCAGCGTGCAAAGGCTCTCCCCGAGGCCAGGGCAGTGTTCCCTCATTTCATGGCTTTGCTTAGCCTAAAACTAGATGGAGGCAGAAGTTCTTGTGGAGGTGGATGGCCATATCCAGGCAGGAGCATGCGAGTCCTCTTGTGTTCCCACGCCAAAGGCCAGCGCAGAGCTGAGCCCTCACTGTCCCGTGAGGAGGAGGAGGAGGAGGAGGAGGAGGGTGCCGTGAGTAACAGCCATCTCCCATAGCCAGTCACCCGCCCTGAACCAGCTGACGTCCCTGTACGTGGGCAGGACACACGCCCTGTGGAAGGACCCGGCTGTCATGGCCTGGCTGGAGCCCCACGTCCACGAGGTTCTGCACATGGTGGACGCCCAGGACACGCTGGTGCAGGAGGCCGAGCACAAGTGAGCACAGAGGATGGAGGGCAGGGTTCCTGTGCCAGGGACAGAGTGGGACAGAGGGTCTGTCCTGGGCAGCAGCAGTTCCTGTGCCAGGGACAGGGCTGGCATAGCTGCTGCTCTGATGCAAAGGTCACAGCACAGGGCCAGGAAGGCAGTGATTCTTCCATGCTTTTCACAGACAGGAATGTAGAGCTGCACCTGCACTGCATATCCTGCACTGCCCCTGGAAACATCCTGGAGAGGGTGGAGGGGTGGCCTGGAAGGGCAGGGATGGCCAGGACAGGTGACAGCTTAGAAACACTTCCCAGTGCTGAGAAACAGGAGAGAGCCATCAGGTGTCCTAAACCAAGGTCAATCTACTCATTCCTGAGCTCTCTGCTCTTTCTCCGGAGCTCAGCAGCTCCCACCCCTTTGGCTCACTCTAAGCCAGCTCCATCCAAGATAGCCTTGTCCCCCAGAGCCAGGGAAGCTGCTGACACTGCACCTGGAGCAGCAGAAATGGGAATGTGCCTGCTCAGGGCTCACTGCTCTGTCCCCTCCCCGCCTCAGGAGGAAGATCCGGTACCAGAGCGCTCCCAGGAACATCTACCGGCACATCATCCTCTCGGAGATGAAGGAGGCCACGGCAGCCCTGCCTCTGGTGAGGGGCCTGATGGGACACAGGAGCTGTGCCTGCATGTGTTGTGGTGGCACTTGTGTCCCCCTGCTCTGACGTGGCTTCTGTGGGCGCCCATGTTAGCTACTGCTGGATACACAGCCTTCATCCCTTCTTTTCTCCTTCATTCCTTCCTTTCTCTTTCATCCCTCCTTTCTGCTCTCCCTGCAGGAGGTGACCTCCCAGCCAGTGATGGACTTCGACCCCCTCCCTCCCCTGGATTCCATTGTTTCCTACACCCGACCGGAAAGGTACCAGCTCCGCCGGCAGCGCCTGTGCTGGCACCGCCGGCCGTGTTCCCGGCGTGCCCCCAGCCCCAGGCCACGCTGCACACGGGCACTCGGTGCTGGCATCCTCCTCCGTGGCAGAGGAAGAGCTGTTGGTGCTCCAGGCAGGCAGAGCTACAGGCTGGACTGGTCCTGCTGCTTCCCATGATGATCACCACTGGCCATTCCCAGCCACAGGGCAAAAGCCAGGGAAAACCCAGGCCACGGCTGACTGGGAGGATTTGGTGTAAATGGAAATTTAAATCCAGCCAGTCCTGGTGTTGGGGTGATGCCACGTGTGTGTTCCACATCAATCCGCTCAGGTAGAGCTGGTAGGATCATGGAATCCTGGAATGGTTTGGGTTCAAAAGATCTTAAAGCTCATCTCATTCTACTTCCTGCTATGAGCAGGGACACTTTCCAGTAGACCAGGCTGCTCTTCCAACCCTTCCAACCTGGCCTTGGTTGTGCTCTTAATGGCTGGTTTGCTCAGAGTTGCCTGAATTCATTGGAACTCCCCAGTTCCCTCCTTCAGGGCTGGTTCCAGCAGCACATGGTTCTCCCAGCACCGCCACATCCCAGTGAGGAGTCACAAACTGAGCTGTACCTTCACCATGGTGCCCCTTGTGTCTTCCAGGACAAGCCATCCCTCCAACGAAAGCACTTTATCCCTCTTCTTCCGCTCTCTGTTGCCAAATTTTAACTTGCAGGTGAGTGCACGCTGGGATTTGGGTGCACCATTCCCCCATGGTGTTCCTGCTCCAGGAGCTGCTGCTGGCGCCAGCCTGGTGCTGATTTGGCAGCGGTGCTGTCCCTGCCAGCGCCACCACGGTGCCGCTCTCTCGTAGGGGGACATGCGGCACGACGGGGACGACGAGGCCAGGGCAGCGCAGGACCTCAACCAGGGGGTGAACAGGCTGATGGCGGCCATGCGGGACATGCTGGCCAACATCCAGTTCCAGGAGCCCCCCCGCGATGACAATCCCGAGGGCGACGGCGACTGGGATTGAGCCCGGGGTGTCTCTCCCCAAACCCTCTGGCATCACCCCCGATTTGTGCCGCACTCCAATAAAGTCACGCAAACGGACTCACTGTGGGAACGGGCTCTTCTGAGGAGGGGGCTGCATCTGTGGCACGGTCTCCATCCAGGGAGGGGGGCTGCAGCCACAGCCGTGGGCTTTGCCCAGGGCCCCTCTCTCAACAGGGGACAAGGGCTGGCTGAGCATGTCCGAGCTAATCAACAGCAGCTGTCCCTTGTCCCCCTGACAGCTTAGTCCCCTTCTGGCCTCCTCTGCACACAATTTCCATCCTATTCCCCTCCCTGTTCTCCTGCCTCTTGTCCTTAATTCCCAGAGGGGTTTTGTTGCCCTCGTCTTCAGTTCCTTTGTATTTCCCGTAGCCTGGAGCTTTCTTCCCTCCACAAAATACTCTGCACCCTCACTACACTGAACCTTCCAAAGGTCTGAGAGTCCCCTGTGCCACTAGAATTATGCACAGAGCAGCTTTTTCAGCCTTGTAATTATGTTTTGAGAAGAAATCTTTCCCCTCTTCTTTGTTTGTCTATCCTTTATTCTCTCACCTTCTAGAGTAAGGATCGAGGTAAGCCACACTCAAACCTCGACTCATCCTTGTTCCCGTAAAGCTTTTTTCCCTTTTTTTGCTGAGTAATGGTGAATACACAGAATAAATCCCTGTTTCTGCTGTATTGCCTCCCTGGGGGCTGTAGCTGAGCTGAGTGTGCAGACCCCGAGTCTCAAGCTAGCCTGCCTTGGCTCCATTCCCCACTGCTATATCCAAATCCCATGGGATCCCGTCGCCGGAATTTGGCCCTGGGGCAGCCTGGGACCCCGTGCCCGGTGTGTGCAGCAGAGCCACGTTCACCCATGCCAGAGGGAAGGGCTTCCCAGCGGAAGTGGGTAACCGTGGGATCAGCCTGCTCGAGGAGCTGTGAATGGCTCTTTGGCAGCCGCGAGGCTCCGGGCATCAACACGGACCTAAGGCACATGATGGTCAGATGGGTCCTGTCCCCACGGCCTGCCTGGGATCCCTGCGGCGCCGGGCTCTGCAGCATCCCATTTATTTAACGGTGCCTGTGACGATCCCTATCGCGTCCCATGCCTGCCCTATTGTACAACATCTTCCCTGGGGCTGTGGGAATGGGACCCCTCCCAGCCCCAGTGCGTGGGACAGCTTGGATCGTGCAGAGGGTCCTGCGGGGGTCCCCAAGGTGTGTGGATAGCTCAGGGAGCGGGTGGATGATCCCCACAGCAGATGGGACCCCCCGAGACACGAGTCTCAGGGGGCACGCTGACCCTCCTAGGACACAGAGGCCTGCAGGGCACAGGGGACCCCTCAAGATCTGCAGGCCCCCAGACTTCAGGGGTCCCCCCCAGCAGACCCAGGACCTCAGGACACGTGAGGACCCTAAGGTGCACAGTCCCACAGGGCACAGAGGACCCCTGTGGCAGCACCCCCAAGGTGCACGGAGCACCCCAGGGCATTTGAGACCCCTGGGCACGTGGTGATCCCAAGCAATCGGGTTCTCCAGGGTCATCCTGGGCGCGTCCCAGCCCCGGTCACGGCAGCGGCCCCCCTCACTGCCGGGGTGCCTCCCTCATGCAGGTGCCCACCCTCCTCGGAGGAGGAGCTGCGGGAGCCGCTTTAAAGTGGGGCAGAGAAAGGGCCCTTTCTTCCCCAGCACCCTGGGCCGGCGGGCGTGGGACGCCGGGCAGCGCTGGCACAGAGAGCGGCCACCACACCGGAGGGTCCCGGCGGGCACACAACACCCCCAGCACATCCCACGCCTCCCGTCCCCAATTTCTCGGCATCCCCTCGGCCTCGCCGCCGGGCGCTCGGGAGAACTGGCGGGGCACGACGGGGGCTCGGGGGCTGTGCAGGTGCCACGGAGGGCCCCGGGGCTGAGGAGGTGGTTATGTCAACGCTGGCCCCCCTGCGTCTGCTGCGCGAGCCCTCGAACGCCAGCGAGGGCAACCAGAGCAACGCCACGGTTGGGGCCACTGGTGGCTGGTGCCAGGGGCTGGACATTCCCAACGAGCTGTTCCTGGCACTGGGGCTGATGAGCCTGGTGGAGAACCTGCTGGTTGTGGCTGCCATCCTGAAGAACAGGAACCTGCACTCGCCCACCTACTACTTCATCTGCTGCCTGGCGGTGTCGGACATGCTGGTGAGCATCAGCAACCTGGCGGAGATGCTCTTCATGCTGCTGCTGGAGCACGGGGTGCTGGTGATGCGCCCCGGCATCGTCCGCCACATGGACAGCGTCATCGACACGCTCATCTGCAGCTCCGTCGTCTCGTCCCTCTCCTTCCTGGGGGTCATCGCCGTCGACCGCTACATCACCATCTTCTATGCCCTGCGCTACCACAGCATCATGACGCTGCAGCGGGCCGTGGTCACCATGGCCAGCGTCTGGCTGGCCAGCACCGTCTCCAGCACCGTCTTGATCACCTACTACCACAGCAACACCGTCCTCCTCTGCCTCATCGGCTTCTTCCTCTTCATGCTGGTCCTCATGCTGGTGCTCTACATCCACATGTTCGCCCTGGCCCGCCACCACCTCCACAGCATCTCCAGCCATCAGAAGCCAACCACCGCCCACCGTGCAGGCAGCCTGAAGGGTGCTGTCACCCTCACCATTCTCCTGGGCGTCTTCTTTATCTGCTGGGGGCCCTTCTTCTTCCACCTCATCCTCATCGTCACCTGTCCCACCAACCCCTTCTGCACCTGCTTCTTCAGCTACTTCAACCTCTTCCTGGTCCTCATCATCTGTAACTCGGTGATTGACCCCCTCATCTACGCCTTCCGGAGCCAGGAGCTCCGGCGGACGCTGCGGGAGGTGGTGACGTGCTCCTGGTAGGGGGACACGGTACCGGCACGGCCACCCCCGCCCTGGAATGGACAGATGGATGGACTGACGGATGGACAGGACGAGCCGCGGGGTGCCCATCCGGGCGAGGGACTCGCTGTTCCCAATAAAGGCTCTTTGCAGTGACGCTGTGGCTGGCATCGGGCAGCCCGGGGGAGCCCCAGGGGGAGAGTCCCTCCCGGTCCCGCCGGTCCGTCAAGGGTCACTTGCTCCCGGAGGGAACCGGGAAAGACCGGCCGGGCGGCGGGAGGCTGGACCCTTCGCGGGGGGTGGTCCCGGCCGCCCCCGGACAAAGGGCCCATCACCGTCGCCTTTGTTCTCGGGCCGCGCCCGCCGCCGCCCACCTCATCACCGGCACCGGCACTGCAGCCGCTCCCGCGGGGGCGACCGGCGACCGGGACCCCCAGGATGTCCCTCCCGTACCCTGTCCCTACCCCTCCCCGTTCCGGGACGCGGTTGGGAGGGGTGTCCCCCGTGTGTGCCCTTGCCCCGCCGCCGCCGCCGCCGCCGCCGCCCCGGGATGCTCCCGCCGCCGCCGGGTGGTCCCAGGGTCCCCGCGGGGGTCCCGGGGTGTCCCCGCTCCCCGGGGGCGCCCCCCCGGCCGTGCCCCCCGCGGGTGCCGGGGTCCCCGCTCCGCCGCGGCGGGGCGTGGCCGCGGGCGGGGCCGGGCGGGGCGTGGCGGGCGGTGCCGGTGCCGCAGGGCCGTTGCGGCGGTGCGGCGGCGGCCGCGGATTGGCTGCGGGCGGCGGTGACGTCAGCGGCCGGCCCGGTGCGGCGGCGGGAGCCTATAAAGGATGCGGCGGCGGCCGCGCCGCCCCCCGCGCTCCCGGTGCCGCTCCGCTCCGGTGCCGCTCCGCTCCCGGCCCCAGCCCGCTCCCGTCCCGCTCCGCTCCGGCCCGGCCGCACCATGAGGGAGATCGTCCACATCCAGGCGGGGCAATGCGGCAACCAGATCGGCGCCAAGGTAACGGCGGCACCGCCCCGCCCCGCCCGCCGCGGCGGAGCCGGGCGGCGGACAAAGACGGACCCGCTCCCCTCCCCCGCCGCCGCCGCACCGGGAGGACAAAGCGCCCCGCCCCCAGCGCGCCCCCCGCCTTTGTCCGTCAGCACCGCGGACAGCGCCCGCGCCGCGCCCCGCCCGCCGCCCGGGGTCCCGGTGCCCCCCGCTCCGCTGAGCCCCGCTCGCGGCTTGCGGGTGCCCCCGCCCCGCTCGGGATTTTGGGTGTTTGGGGGATCCCCCTGCCCCCGCTCCGCTGAGCCCTGTCCCGAGGTTTGAGGAGTCCGGGTAGCCCCCGCCCCGCTCGGGATTTTGGGTGTTCGGGGGATCCCGGTGCCCGCCGCCCCGCTGAGACCTGCCCAGCGGTCTGGGGAGTCCCGGTGCCCCCCGCCTCTCCCTGCCTGGGGATTTCAGTGTTTGGGGTACCCCAGTGTCGCTCGCCCCACCCAGCTCTGCCTGGGGATGGGAGGATCCTGGCGCCCCGTGCCTCTGCCTGGGGATGTTCCGGTGCCTCCCGCCCCGCTGAGCTCCCCGTCCTCCCCAGTTCTGGGAGGTGATCAGCGACGAACACGGCATCGACCCCAGCGGCAACTACGTGGGGGACTCGGACCTGCAGCTTGAACGCATCAGCGTCTACTACAATGAGGCCTCTTGTAAGCGACCCCCCCCCTCGGAACCTCCCCCGGCAGGGTAGCCTGGCACCCCCACCCTGGCCTGGGCGGTGGGGCCCCAGTCTGACCCCCCAGTGCAGGAGGAGCTGGGCGTGCCGGGTGGGGAGGGGGTCAGATAGGCACACCCACCCCATGGCGGGGGGGGACAGGCATGTGCACCCACCCCGTGGGACCATTTAGTTTGGGGCAGGGGGAGATCGTGTACACCCAGTTCCATGGGACCCTGCCATGTGGGAGGGGTCACACACAACACCTGCACCCCGGGAGGGCAGGCGTGTGCACCCCCCCAGACCCTGTCGTGTGAGGGGGCAGGGGGCACGTGTGCCTCCAAGGTCATGGCACCCTGTCGTTTGGGTGGGGGGCATGACACATGCACCCACCCCCTGGGACACTGGTGGGGGGGGGACATCACACGTGCACCCAGTCCCATGGGACCCTGTGGTTTGTGGAGAGAGGGACACCTGCACTCCCCCTGTAGGATCCTGTGGTGTGGGAGGGACAAAACACCAACACCCACCCAGCCCACGGGGCCCGGGGGAAATGGGGGGCAGACATCTGCACCCACCCCATGTGACCCCCATTGTTTGGGGGGCACGAGACATGCACCCACACCAGGAGCCCCTGGGATTTGGGGCGGGGGGACACGAGCTGTGCACCCAGCCCCGTAGGACCCTGGGGGTGCTCTGGGGGCGGGCTGGGGGGGCGGCAGCAGGTCCCCTCCCGTCATGGGGTCTCTCTCAGCTCACAAGTACGTGCCTCGCGCCATCCTGGTGGACCTGGAGCCGGGGACGATGGACAGCGTGCGCTCGGGCGCCTTCGGCCACCTCTTCCGCCCTGACAACTTCATCTTCGGTAGGTGCCCGGGCAGGGCGGGGTGCAGCGTCCCCCGGTGTTCCCCCCGGCCCCAGCATCCTCGGACCCGCTCGGCCAGTCGCCGTCCCCAGGGCGCTCGGCGGGCGCACCCCTCCCGCGCCGCGGGGCCCGGCACCGCCGGCTCGCCGCCAAACCTCTGCGGTTCCTGCTTCCCACCCCGCCCCGGCGTCAGATGTGCCGGTGCTGCCGGCGGCGGCGGCTGGTCCCAGCCCTGATCCTCTCCCCGGCGCCCTCGGGAGGTGGGCGTGGGGGGCCGGCGGCCATCGGAGCCTTTTCTTTTCCCAGGGCAGAGCGGTGCCGGGAACAACTGGGCAAAGGGGCACTACACAGAGGGGGCCGAGCTGGTGGACTCGGTGCTGGATGTGGTGCGGAAGGAGTGTGAGAACTGCGACTGCCTGCAGGGCTTCCAGCTGACCCACTCGCTGGGCGGGGGCACCGGCTCGGGCATGGGCACGCTGCTGATCAGCAAGGTGCGGGAGGAGTACCCCGACCGCATCATGAACACCTTCAGCGTGGTGCCGTCCCCCAAGGTGTCGGACACGGTGGTGGAGCCCTACAACGCCACGCTGTCCGTGCACCAGCTGGTGGAGAACACGGACGAGACCTACTGCATCGACAACGAGGCGCTCTACGACATCTGCTTCCGCACCCTCAAGCTGGCCACCCCCACCTACGGCGACCTCAACCACCTCGTCTCGGCCACCATGAGCGGCGTCACCACCTCCCTGCGCTTCCCCGGCCAGCTCAACGCCGACCTGCGCAAGCTGGCCGTCAACATGGTGCCCTTCCCGCGGCTGCACTTCTTCATGCCCGGCTTCGCCCCGCTGACGGCACGCGGCAGCCAGCAGTACCGCGCCCTCACCGTGCCCGAGCTCACCCAGCAGATGTTTGATGCCAAGAACATGATGGCCGCCTGCGACCCCCGCCACGGCCGCTACCTCACCGTGGCCACCGTCTTCCGTGGCCGCATGTCCATGAAGGAGGTGGATGAACAGATGTTGGCCATCCAGAGCAAGAACAGCTCCTACTTTGTGGAGTGGATCCCCAACAATGTCAAGGTGGCCGTGTGTGACATCCCGCCACGGGGGCTGAAGATGTCCTCCACCTTCATCGGGAACAGCACGGCCATCCAGGAGCTCTTCAAGCGCATCTCGGAGCAGTTCACGGCCATGTTCCGCCGCAAGGCTTTCCTGCACTGGTACACGGGCGAGGGCATGGACGAGATGGAGTTCACCGAGGCCGAGAGCAACATGAACGACCTGGTGTCCGAGTACCAGCAGTACCAGGACGCCACGGCCGAGGAGGAGGGCGAGATGTACGAGGACGACGAGGAGGAGTCGGAGGCGCAGGGCGCCAAGTGACGCCCGCCGCCGCCCCCAACACCGCCCGCAGCCCCCCGGCTTCGCGCTGCTGCAGCCCCAGGTGCTGCTCCCCCGCCATCCCCTCAGTGTCTCCTGACTCCAGCCCCACCTGAGCCGGCTCGGCCCCTCGCCTCCCTTCCTACCTCCCCCCTTTTCGTTTTTTACTGGTTTGTGTCTTATTATTTTTTTTGAATACTTAATAAATTTATTGCTGTCCAGGTACTACCTGTCTCTGCCTGCTGGGTAGGGGGGATAGGGGACGCTCACACGGTTCTGCCCCTGCAGCCATTCCCAGCCAGGGGAGGCATTCGGGAAGCCCCCATGCACTGCCCCCCACCCTTCTGCCCCTCAGGTCCAGGTGCCCCAGGCAGGCTGTGCCTTTGTCCCCACTGTCACCTTTCTCCATGCTCGGGGGTGTGGCCCTGTGCCAGGACACGGGTGGCCCTTTGTTCCCCAGTCTGAGGGGGTAGCACAGACCCCGAGGATGCCAGGGGTGTTTCCCCAGGCTGGGTGTGTGCCCAGTTGTGGAGGATTTGGGGCACTCCTGCATCTGAGTGCTCTGGCTTTGGAGGCCGTTGACCAGTAGGGCTGTGGGCTATAGGGACAGGGGGCTGTGGGGCTGGGGTCTGTGGGGACGGGGACAGTGAGGATGGGGACACTGGGGATGAAGGCTGTAGGGTGGACACAGTGGGGATGGAGGCTATGGGTTGTGGGGATGGGGGCTGTAGGGACAAGGTATGGTAGGGCTGGGGGCTCTGGGGCCGGGGCTGTAGGGCGGGCACGGTGCGGGTGTGGTGGTGGGGCTGGGGGGCTGTAGGGGTGTCCTGGTGCAAGTGTCACGGTGCGGGTGTCGCGGTGTGGGTGTCACGGTGCCGGTGTCACGGTGCGGGTGTGGCGGGGCGGGCTCGGTGCCGGTGTCGCGTTGCCGGTGTCACGGTGCCGGTGTCGCGGTGCGGGCTCGGTGCCGCTGTCGCGGTGCCGGTGTCGCGGTGCCGGTGTCGCGGTGCGGGCTCGGTGCCGCTGTCGCGGTGCCGGTGTCAGGGTGCCGGTGTCACGGTGCGGGCTCGGTGCCGGTGTCGCGGTGCCGGTGTCACGGTGCGGGCTCGGTGCCGGTGTCCCGGTGCCCGTGTCGCGGGGCGGCCCCGCCCGGCGCGGCGCGGTGCAGTGCGGTCTGCCGGCCGGCAGAGGGCAGCAGCACGCAGGGCGCGGGGGGCGTGGCCTGGCGGGGCGTGGCCTGGCGGGGGCGGGGCTTCGCGCGGCGGTGAGCGCGGCGGGGGCGCGGGGACGGGAGGGACCGGAGGGACCGGAGGGACCGGAGGGGACCGGAGGGGACCGGAGGGACAGCGGGGCCCTCGGGGCCGGGATGGGTGGACGGTACCGGTACGTGGTGCCCGTGGGCCGAAGCGGGCGGTGGCGGCGGGGCAGGGCGGGGGCCCGGGCGTGGGAGGCGGAGAGACGCGTCCGTCCGCGGGGACGGAGACGGGGACAGGAACGGGAACGGAGGCGGGGTATGGTGGCAGCACCGAGGTGTCGGGGGCGGTGCTGGGGTGTTGGTGCTTGTGACAGAATGCCGGTGCCGGTGTGTCGGTGCCAGTGCCGGTGTGTCGGTGTTTGTGGCCGGTGTGTCGGTGCCGGTGGCAGTGCTGGGTTTCTGTGGGTGTACCGGGGTGTCACTGGCAGTGACGAGGTGTCGGTGTGGGGGTGTCAGTGCCCATGGCAGGGTTCCAGCGTTGCTGTTGGAGTGTCGGTGCCACCCCCGGTGGGTGTACCGGGGTGTTGCTGATGGTGGGGAGGTGGCAGTGCTGAGGTGGCAGTGCCAGGGTGTTGGTGCCGGGGTGTCACTGCTGGTAACAAGCTGTTGCTGACAGTGTTGCTGGTGCTGGCATGTCAGTGCGGTGCTGGGACATCAGTGCTATGACAGGATGTTGGTGACAGTGTCGGTGCTGCTGAGGTGCTGCTATTGGTGCCTGTGATGGGGTGACTGTGCTGGTGCCAGGGCGTGGGTGCTGGTGATACAGTGCAAGTGCCTGTGACGGGGTGATGGTATTCAGGCTGCTGGTGATGGTGTTTGGGGTGCTGGTGCTGGTATTTAGGATGCTGGTGCTGGTATTTAGGATGCCGGTGCTGATATTTAAGGTGCCAGTGATGGTATCAGGGTGCTGGTGCTGGTATTTAGGATGCTGGTGCTGGTATTTAGGATGCTGGTGCTGGTATTTAGGATGCTGGTGCTGGTATTTAGGATGCTGTGCTGATATTTAAGGTGCCAGTGATGGTATCAGGATGCTGGTGATGGTATTTGGGGTGCTGGTGATGGTATTTGGGGTGCTGGTGCTGGTATTTAGGATGCTGGTGCTGGTATTTAGGATGCTGGTGCTGGTATTTAGGATGCTGGTGCTGGTATTTAGGATGCTGGTGCTGATATTTAAGGTGCCAGTGATGGTATCAGGATGCTGGTGATGGTATTTGAGGTGCTGGTGATGGTATCAGGGTGATGGTATTCAGGGTGCTGGTGCTGGTATTTTTTAGGGTAACGGTGCTGGTATTGGGGGTGCCTTGATGGTGCCAGTGGCAGTGCCAGGGTGCCGGGTCACTGAGGCCGTGCCCTCTGCCCGGCAGGACGGGGGCGATGGCGTCGGACGAGCGGCTGGCCCGCTTCCGCCAGGCACACCTGAACCCCTTCAACAAGAGCCCCGAGCAGCCGGAGCGCCCCGACGGAGAACCCCCTGCCCCAGGTGCTGCTGCCCCCCCCACGCCCTGCCCCACGGCGGGCTGGGCAGCCAGGCCAGCCCCCCACGGCACCCCCAGTTCTGGGGGTGGGTTCGGCCCCCCTGAGACCCCCCCTTTGCAGCCCAGCAGCCGGATCCCACCCCCGGGGACCCCGAGGGCGCCCTGGACCTGGGGCTGGCCGAGGACCACTTCTCCCGCCCCGTGGTGAGTGGGGAGGGGGTCGTGGGGATGGGGGCAGACGGGGGGCCCGGCTCACCCTCCTCCTCCTCCTCCTCCTCGTCCTCCTCCTGTGGCGGTGCTGGCAGGGGCTGATCCTGGCGTCGGACGTGCCGCAGCTGCGCCGCGCCATCGAGGAGTGCAAGCGGCTGATCCTGGCGCTGCCCGAGCACTCGGAGCGGCAGAAGGACGCCGTGGTCCGGCTCATCCACCTCCGCCTCAAGCTGCAGGAGCTGAAGGTGGGGCTGAGGCTGGAGCTGGGCCCAGAGGGGCTCTGTGGCTGATGCCCATCCCTGGAAGGTTGCACCTTAGAGCAACCTGGGATGGTGGAAGGTGTCCCCACCCCCGGCAGGGGATGGAATGGGACGGCCTTTAAGGTTCAACCCGAGCCATGCCGTGATTCTTTGGTTCTCTGACCCCCCTTTCCCCCTGCAGGACCCTGGTGAGGATGAGCCCAACATCCGCGTGGTCCTGGAGCATCGTTTCTACAAGGAGAAGAGTAAGAGCGTCAAGCAGATGTGTGACAAGTGCAGCACCATCATCTGGGGGCTCATCCAGACCTGGTACACCTGCACAGGTGGGTCTGGGACGCGCCCTCCACGTCCCTGCTTGCCCCATCCCCTCACTGACACCCGGCTGTGCCCCCAGGCTGCTACTACCGGTGCCACAGCAAGTGCCTGCCGCTGGTGAGCCGGCCCTGCGTGCGTGCCCAGGTGAGCCACCAGGCCGAGTACCAGCTCAGCATCTGCCCCGAGAGTGGGCTGGACAGCCAGGACTACCGCTGTGCCGAGTGCCGGGCCCCCATCTCCCTCCGTGAGCTGCTCCTGGGGGGCTGGGGGGCTCTGGGGGGCTTGAGGAAACCAGGCTGGGGGGCTGCAGGGGCTGGGGGGCTCTGTGGGGTTTGGGGGGTGTGGGGGCTCTGTGGGGTTTGGGGGGTGTAGGGCTGGGGGGGTCATGAAGCTCTGTGGGACTGAAGGATGAGGATGAGGGGAGGTGGGAGCTTGTGGGGCCGAGCTCCCTCGGGGGGGCTCTGTGGGGCTGGGGGAGCTGCTGGGGCTGAAGGGCTGTGGGCTGGAAGCAGCTGCAGGTTTGGGCTGTGGGGGCTGGGAGTTCTGGGGATCTGGGGCGTCCCCAGGCGTTGCTGGGTCACGCACAGGGCGTGGGGCGAGCAGAGAGCAGGGCGGTGCCAGTGCCAGCCCCATGCCAGCCCTGTGCCACCGCAGGGGGGGTGCCCAGCGAGGCCCGGCAGTGCGACTACACCGGCCTCTACTACTGCTCCAGCTGCCACTGGAACGACCTGGCCGTGGTGCCCGCCCGTGCCATCCACAACTGGGACTTCGAGCCCCGCAAGGTGCCCCTGGCGTGGGGTGGGGGCACCCTGGGGTGTCACCAGAGTCCCTTGGGACAGTGGCCTTGGGTGAAGGCCAGCTGGGGGGCCATGTCCTTGTTCATGGGGGTCCCTGGGAGGTGCATCAGTGGGTAGAGGTGACTTGGGAGCTGCGTCCTTTGTCATGGGGGTCCCTGGGGACATGTCCCTTGGTAGAGGTCACTTGGGGGATCCCATCCTTGGTCTTGCATGTCCCCGGGGACCATGGCCTTGTGTAGATGTCACTTGGGGGACAACGCCCCTTGTCATGGAGGCCATGTCCCTGGTTATGGGGGTTGCTGGGCAAAGATCACTTGAGGGGAAGCCATGTCCCCAGGGCCGTGTCCCCAGGGCCGTGTCCCTGGCAGGGGTCAGTGGGCGGTGGCAGCAGGGCTGGCAGGTGCTGAGGGTGGCCCTGGTGGCGTTGGGCAGGTGTCACGGTGCAGCATGAGGTACCTGGCACTGATGGTGTCACGGCCGGTGCTGAAGCTGCGGGAGATCAACCCACTGCTCTTCAACTACGTGGAGGAGCTGGTGGAGATCCGGGTGAGTGCTGGGTGTGGGGAGGACACCCCACAAGGGCAGGGGACACCACAGAGGGCCTGTGCAGTGAGCAGGAGGGGGGACCCCAGTGGCACCCACTGGGTCCCACAGAGAAGAAGCAAGGTGGGGTGGGCAGTTTGGGGCAGAGGGTGCCCAGACTGTAACAGGGGTGAAAAAAGACCCAATCTGGTCTTTTTCTTGTCATGCTCCTGTCTCCATCCCATTAACAACCCTGTCCTCATCCTCATCGTCATCCTGCCCCTACCATTGCCCTTTTCCCTATGGTCCTATTCCTGTCCCCACCTCTGTTCCCGTTCCTGTCCCCATTGCTGTATTTGCATGCCATCCCTGTCCCCATTCCCATCCCGTTCCTGTCCCCATTCCCACCTCTGCCACCGTGTCCCCCGCAGAAGCTGCGCCAGGACATCCTGCTGATGAAGCCCTACTTCATCACCTGCAAGGAGGCGATGGAGGCGCGGCTGCTGCTGCAGGTCAGGCCTGGGGCCAGGGCCAGGCGTGGCAGTGGTGGCCACACCGTGGTGGCAGTCACACAGCAGTGACAGTCACACAGTGCTGGCAGTCACACAGTGCTGGCAGTCAGACAGTGGTGATGGTCACACCTTGGTGATGGTTACACCTTGGTGATAGTCAGACAGTGGTGACAGTCACACAGCAGTGGCAGTCACACAGCAGTGGCAGTCACACAGCGGTGGTGGTCACACCGTGGTGATGGTTACACTTTGGTGACAGTCAGTGTTGACAGTCACACAGCAGTGACAGTCACACAGGGTGACAGTCCCAGTGCCCGTTTGCCCGCAGCTGCAGGACCGGCAGCACTTTGTGGAGAACGACGAGATGTACTCGCTGCAGGACCTGATCGACATCGAGGCCGGGCGCCTCGGCTGCTCCCTCACCGAGATCCACACGCTCTTTGCCAAGCACATCAAGCTGGACTGCGAGGTGAGCCCATGCTGGGGGGCAGAGCCGTGGGGAGACCCCCGTGGGGCCAGCAGAGGGCTGGCAGGGTCACCGTGGTCACCTGCTGCTGCTCCCCCAGCGATGCCAGGCCAAGGGCTTCGTCTGTGAGCTGTGCCGGGAGGGCGACGTGCTCTTCCCCTTCGACAGCCACACCTCGGTCTGCGCCGACTGCTCGGCCGTCTTCCACAGGTACCGACACGCTGGGGCGGGACGTGGGGACGTGGGGGTGGCAGGGGGTGACCCAACACTGTCCCCACCCTCCCCAGGGACTGCTACTACGACAACTCCACCACCTGCCCCCGGTGCGCCCGGCTGAGCCTGCGGAAGCAATCCTTGTTCCAGGACTCCGGCACGGAGGCGGAGCCCTGAGGGGGGGTCTGGCCCCATTGTGGGGTCTCAGGCCCAAGACTGCCCCCCACTCTCCACGGGGCTCTGGGATGGACACAATCAGCCCAGTGGTGGCTTGGGGACTGGGGTGGCCCTGGCTCTGGGATCCTCTGCTCATGGACATGGCAGCGCTGCCGGGAGGGAACCGCTGCTGGACCCCAGCCACTGCCGGGAGCGTGGAGAGCCTCACCGGAGGGGCCAGGATGGGGTTAACGGATCCGGGAAAGGCCCACAGCGGCTCCTGCCCTCCCTGCCGGAACCGGGCTGCGGGCCGGGATGGGCGCAGGCCGGGGCCGGCGCTGCCCTGTCCTGCAGTGACGGTGACAGTGACAGGAACTCAGCCCCGGCACCGGGACGGGACCGAGTCCCTCCCACACACGATACTGGGCTCTGGTCCCTCCCCGGCCCACGGCACCGCCGTTACCGGGGCCGAGCCCCGGCGGGGATGCTGCGGGATCTTCCCCGGGCTGGGGCGGGCGCGGGGTGGAGCCGCTGCCTCCCTTCTCCCCGCTGGTTCCTGTAGCATTAACGAGCCTCTCTGCACAACCCAGCACTCGTGTCCCTGCTTCGGGCGGCGGCGGGGGCACCGGGGGCACGGGCGGAATGTGCGAATGCGCGGGGGTGGCAGCTCGGGAGCTCCCGCCGAGGCTGGGGCTGCCGGGGGGAGCACCGGCACCGGGCCGGCCCCGGGCCGGCGCCGCCCGGGGAATAGAATTGCGCTGCGCGACGTTGTCGGGGATGTGCCGGTGTCCCGCCCATCGAGAGTGGCCGCGGCCACGCCGCCCCGGTACCCGGTGGAGCCGGGCACCCCCCTTCCCAAGGTGTTCCGTGCCCCCGGCTCCTCCCGCTCCCCCACGCGGCGGCGCAGACGGGCAGAGGCCGGCGGTGGGTCGGTCGGTCGGTTTTACCGGATCACAGCACTGCTACATCAGAACCGGGCGGGCACCGGCACCGGCCGCGCTCCATCGGGCCGCGCGGAGCCGTGCGACCCGTCCCGTCCTGCCCCATCCGCCGCTCCCGGTAACCGAGGCCGTGCCGCTCCCGGGGGCCGGCGGGGCCGGCCCGGTTTTCCCCCGGGGCCGCGGGCCACCGGCTGAGGGCAGCCCGGTACGTCCCCGCCGCGGGGCTGGGGCCGCCTCTGCCCTCCGGGCGGGCTAACGGGAGTCCTGCGCCCGGGGACGGGCTCCATCGGTACCGACGGGACCAGCACCGGCGTATCCCGGTGTCCCCGGCGGCTTTGGTCCCTACGGCTCCCGCGGGCGCTCGGCGGGCAGGAAGGCGTCCGGGGGTCCCGGGGGTCCCGGCGGCAGCTCGGGGTCACTCAGGTGCTTCTTGTCCCGGCCCTGCTCCCGGGCGCGGGTCCAGGAGGGCGAGCGCAGGTACCCGGCCCGCGGCGCCGCCGGCGGCTGCAGCCCTGCGGGACGCACGGCCGGGGGGCCGGTCAGCGCCGCACCGGCACGGGCGGACAGGCCGGGACCGGCGGCCCCGGACCCCCGCTCACCGCCGGGCGTCTCTCCGGCCGCGTTCTCCTCGTCGGAGTCGGCGAAGACCTCGGCCAGCTCCTGGTCTGACATATCCGTCAACTCCGTCAGGTCCAGCAGGTCGAAGTGCACCTCCAGCGAAGACACGCTGCTCAGGGGCTCTGCGGGCACCGCCAGGGCTGGGGACCCACCGCTGTCCCCACTGGGGGAGGCGGGGGTCTGCTGCTTGGGGAGCTGGGGGCGGGGGGACCCCTCATAGAGGGACTTGAGGGGCGACCGTGACTGGCTGGGGGCTAGCAGGGGACCCTAGGGGTGTCGGGACCCCAGGGACAGGCAGGAGACCCCAGGCGATGACAGAAGACTGGGGACGGGCAGGACACCCCAAGGGCCGGCGGAGGACACTCGGGGATGGGCAGGAAACCGCGGAGCAGACCCGAGGTGCTGGGGACAGGCAGGTGATGCTATGGGCAGGAGACATCCCAGGGACAAAGCAGGGGACCTCAGGGACAGGCGGGGATGGCAGGGACAGGAGGGACCCCAGCTCGGGGCCTCACTCACGTCGGCGCTCGGTGACCTGCAGCAGGCCGGCGCTGGGGATGGGGATGCCCCCCTGCTCCTCGGGGACTCGGGGGGTCTCCTGGGCCGGCCCGTGCGTGGGGGTCCCTGCGGGGCGCTCCGGGACCAGCGGCTCCTTGCCAAGCTCTGTCACATCAGCACCTTCCGTGTCAGCGAGGGCAGCTCCTTTTGGGGCCCCCGGCGCTCGCGGGGTGCCCAGCTAAGGGGCTGGGGACAGCAGGAGCCCCGGGGAGGAGCGGGGGGCGGGCAGAGCTGCCCGAGACCCTCGTGTCGGAAGCTGGCAGCCCCCGCCCCGCGCCCCCCTCCCCGCGCAGCCCCTTTGTGTCGGCGAGACAAAGCGCAGGCTGTGCGGGGCCGGACAAGGGCGGATTGTGCTGGGACTGGCCCCGCGAAGGGCCGCAGGGACCAGGCGGCCGTGGCACACGGCCACGGCCCTGGCACAGCCCGTGGCACACGGTGGTGGCACAGCCCGAGGCTGTGGCTGTGTCTCGGGGCACTGGGGCTGGGAGGAGGCTCTGTGTGCCCAGGGCAGCGCGGGGGACACAGCACCCTGTCCCCTGTCCCCGTGAGTGCCAGTGCCCTGGCAGCACGTGCCACCGCCAAACCATGCCACCACTGAGCTACCGGGTGACACGGCACAGGGGTGGGCATCGCCCCCCTCCCACCAGGATGGTGACAGCGGGGCACGGTCAGAGACCTCCAACCCAACGGGGAAAGGGATTTTCCTGCTGCTGGCGGGCAGAGCGGCGGGACAGCGGCGGGACAGCAGGGGACAGCAGGGGACAGCAGCCCTCTGCCCCCGCGGGGGGATCAGGCACCCCGCGCTCACGGTGCGTTCCCCCGGGCCGGGAAAGGGGGTCCTCACCGCGCTCCAGAGCAGAGCAGATCCCCCGGGGCGGACACGGGGGCTGCCTGCCCTTGCCCGCTGCCGCCGCCGTGCCCCGCGCGGTGCCCGGCCCCGGTGGGTGCCACTGTGCCGTGTCACCGTAAGGAGCACGGCCCCTGCCCGCACACGCCCGCACGCACCAGGGCGCTGGTCCCGGCTGCAGAATTCCCCTCTGGCCTCCGCCTGCATGGTCCCGCCGCGCCACCGGCCGCGCCACCGGCAGTGCCACCGGCAGTGTCACCGGCCGCGCCGCCCGCTCCGGCCTGGGCTCACCGGCTGCCTGGCGGGAGCGGGGCCGGATCAGGGATCTCCCCCGCACGCCGTGTGCTGACTCACGGCAACCGCAGAGCCGGGCAGCCGCCGGTACCGGCACCCCACGGCCCCGGGCACCCCACGGCGCCCGCAGCCCGCCCCGGCGGCACTGTCCCCCCACGGGCCCGGTGTCCCGCCGCTCCCCCGGTGCCGCGGCCGGGGCTGCCCCGTGCCGGCGGCTACGGCACAGCCGTGGGCGGGCCACACGCGGGAGGGACGGGCGTGCAGGGCAGCTCGGGCACCGCCTCTGGAGCCAGGTGCAGCCCCCCCAGAATTCTGGGCCCCCTCAGCTGCAGCAGCGCAGCCACCTCCCGGTCCCCGAGCCCCGCCGCACACCGGCGCTGCCAGCGCTGTGCGGGATGGCTGCGAGGCACCCGCTGCTCCCCGCGTCCCCGGGGCACCCCAGGGTGCCTGCACGTCCTGCGAGCACCCTACCGCTCCTCTACACCCCCGGGCACCCCGCTGTGCCCCCGCAGTCCCCGGGCACCCCGTGGCAAGTCCAAGTCCCCGGTGCCCGCCCCTGCTCCGCCTGGCCACACGGCCACCCCACTGCCCCCCCCGGTCACCGCACTGCACCCCCACCTCCTGCGAGCTGCCCCCCAAGTCCCCGGGGCGCTCCAGGGCTCCCTCCGACCCCTGAACACCCCCGTGTCCCCCCAACATTCCCTGGGTACCCCGCTGCTCTCTCCCTCCATCCCCGGCTCTCCCTGCACAGAACCCCCGCGATGTCCTGCCCGCGCCCCCCCAAATCCCCGTCCCCCTGCAGCCGGGCACCCCCAGCTCGGCCCCACGCCCCCTTTGCGCCCCTTTGCGCCCCCCGAGCAGCTCTTCCCGTGGCACCCCCGCCCTACATCTCCCCGCCCGCCCCGCGGGGCCCGGCCCGGTTCCACGGTGATGGGCGTGCCGGTCCGAGCCTCCCCGCTCTGCTCCCCGCCCTCACCTCCGGTGGCGACCGCCGCCGGAGCCGCCATGGGCCGGGGTCGGGGCTGATGCCGGTGCCGGTGCCGGTCCGGTGCTGGGCGGGCCCGGTGCCAGCCCGCAGCCCGCACGGTCCTGCCCGCCGCGGCGGGGGCGGGGACACCGGGGGCGGGGACACGGGGATGGGAGGAGCCGAGGGGCGGGAGCACCGGGGGGACGGGAGAGGGCGCGGAGGGGACCGGGAAGAGCCGGGGGGGGAGCACGGGGACCGGGGGTGCAGCGGGGACCGGGGGATGCGGGAGCTGAGCCGGGGGACTGCAGCTGTGGGGACCGCCCCGGTCACAGCGGTGGGCTCGGGGCTGGAGGAGCCGGGGCCGGGCACAACGGGACCCCCTGGGTTTGTCCCTCCAGTGCTCCCCGAACTTCCCCGCCCTCCCGGTTTCCCCCGAACCGCTCGGTTCCCCCGGTCGCCCCGTTCCCTCACACCGCCCCCCGCCGCTTCCTCCCCGCCCGGTCCCTGCGATGTCCCCCCGCTCCTTCCCGGTGTCCCCTCCCGGTCCCCTCCCGGTCCCTCCCGGTCCCTCCCGGTCCCTCCCGGTCCCTCCCGGTTCCTCCCGGTCCCTCCCGGTCCCTCCCGGTCCCTCCCGGTCTCTCCGGCCCCGCCCCCGTTGCCATGGCGGGGCGGGGCGTTGCTAGGGGCGTGTCTTCACCCCGCGCCGCTCTCGCGAGATCTCGCTGCTCTCTCGCGGGATCTGCCGTCCGTTGCCCGGAGACGCCGGCGCCGCCGCCATGGTGAGAGCGGAGCCGGGACCGGGCCAGGACCTGGCCGGGGGGGAGAACCGGGGCCGGGGGCAGAGCTGCGAGGTCCGGCAGCGGGGCTGTGCAGGCAGGGGAGGGCGGTGGAACCCCGCGCTCCCATGTCTGCCAGCCCCGTCCTGTGCCGGCCCGCTCCCGGTGCGGAGCCGCCCGGTGCCGTGCCCGGTGCCGTGCCCGGTGCTGCGGTGATGCCGCTCAGGCGTTCCTTTGGGTACGGGCGTTTTGTGCCCAGGGCTTCACGGAGCTGAGTCGGCAGTGGCAGCGCACGAGTCTCTCGCAGGCCGCTCCCGGTGTCGCCGTTGTCCCCGGTCCGTGCCGGGGGAGCCGCGATGCTCGGGGCGTGCACGGTTCCTCCTCGCTCCTTCACCTGCCGTGCTTGGCTTTCTGTCCTCAGGCACCCAAAAAGAAAGCGGGGAAAGGGCGCAGAGGCCCGGCGGTGGTGGATGGCCTGGCCCCGGAGGACATGAGCAGGGAGGAGGTGAGCGGGGCCCGGGGAGGACGGGAGGGACAGCCGGGGCCCCCGGCGTGGCGCCGGGCCCGGCTCCGGGGACAGCGGCTGCACGGGGTGACGGGCCCGGCAGCCGGGCTGTGCCACCGGGGCCGCCGGTTCCTGCTGTTGTGGCAAGGAGCAGGCTCCTCATCCTCCCTCTGCGCTCCAGCCCTGTGTTCTGGGTGCTGCCAGGGCCGTACCCGGAATCTTGGAGCCCCTCAGGACAAGAAAGAGGGGCTGGAGCAGGCCCAGAGAAGGGAGTGAAGCTGGGGAAGGGTCCAGAGGACAAGGAGGGGCTGAGGGAGCTGGGAAGGGGCTCAGCCTGGAGCAAAGGAGCTTCAGGGGGGACCTTGTGGCTCTGCACAGCTCCTGACAGGAGGGGACAGCCGGGGGGTCGGGCTCTGCTCCAGGAACAGGGACAGGAGGAGAGGGAACAGCTCAGGCTGGGCCAGGGCAGGCTGAAGTTGGGTATTGGGAAAATGTCTTCTGGAAAAGGTTGTCCAGCCCTGGCCCAGGCTGCCTAGGGCAGGGGTGTAGTCCCCATCCCTGGAGGAATTTAGGAGTCGTGTGGATGTGGCACTTGGGGACCTGCTGGAGAAACAGTTAAACTTGATTTTAGAGGCTTTTCCAACTCAAACAATTCCATGAGCCAGAAGTATCCGAGCACCTGAGTGTTGTGACAGGTAGAAGAATTATAAAAGAAAGGCCTCATAAAACCAGGCCTGCTCTGTTAAACTAAAGGTGTGCAGCTAGTACTTTGCAAGTTCCCATGCGAAAACAAACTCGGAATGAATAGTTTGCTAACATAACAGCCTATTCTTGGGTGAAAAATAAGTGCACCTGCATAAACATTAGATCTATTCCATGACAGCCCACAAAAGAAAAATGCAAACAGCCTGAACCTTAGTTCATACACACAAATCACCTTCTGACCAATAAACAAAGTGGTAAGAAAACTACCACTAGTAGATATTGCACATGAGATCTGTGAAAATAGTATGAAATGAGTTATGTGAATAAAGACTGGGCTTTTCCTACATGAAGAAAATGGAGCCTCTCTCATTTTATTCCAATACCTGAGAATGCTGTTACCCTGCCAGGCAGAGCCCCATCCTGGGCAGATGAGCTTTTGTGACTGCTTTTCCAGAAGCTGCTGGGTTGGTCAGGGACCTGCACAGCTCCACAGCGGTGACAGCCACCACGTCCTGCGGGTTTGGGGCGTGGAGTGTCCGAGGGCACTGCCCAAGGCCTCCCTGCCCCCTTGCCTTGCCTTCACAGCTGCTGGAGCACATGGCGCGCCTCCGGCAGGAGCTGGAGCGGGAGCGGCAGGAGCGGAACTCCTTCCAGCTGGAGTGTAGCAGGATCCAGAGCTTCTGGGAGATCACTCGCCGCGAGCTGGAGGAGAGCAAGGCGGAGCTGCGGAACCGGGACCGCCAGATGGAGGAGGCGGAGGAGCGGCACCAGCTGGAGATCAAGGTGGGGCTGGAGGGCTGCAGGTGAGGCCTGGGCAGCTCTGAGGAGGAGAGGAGGAGGAGCTGGGCGGGATGTGATCCAGGAATGTCTCACCAGCATCCCTGGTGACTCCTGCTGAGCCCCTCGCCCGGTCTCTGGCCTGTCCTCAGGTGTACAAGCAGAAGGTGAAGCACCTGTTGCACGAGCAGCAGGAGAACCTGACGGAGCTGAAGGCAGAGGGAGTCCTGTCCCTGAGGCGGGCCCAGAAGGATCACTGGGACCAGGAGCAGGAGCTGTGGAAAGAGAAGCGCTCTTTGAACATAAAGCTGAAGGGGCAGGAGTTGGCCAATGAGGCAGCCATTACAAACCTCTGCCTGGTATGTCCCTGGCTAGGCTGGAGCCTCCTGTGAGGTGCCTCATCCCCAGCGTGGGAGCACGGGGGGGATCTTGCCTCCCTGACTCTCTGTGGGGTGAGATGGGATTTCTGGTGCTGGAATGGGGAGAAGGGATTCCTGGGTGACCCCTCTCCCACAGTGGGGAGCTGTGAGAGCAGCTGGAGAACCCACAAGCCACTGTTTGCATCAACGTGGGATCAGAATCCTTTCCCAAACAGCAGGGGGGAATCCCTGGGCATGGGCTGGCTTGGGATTTGGTTGTTTCTTCCAACACGGAGTTTCTTCCTCACAGAAACATGAGGAGGAGATGGCCCAGCTACGCAGCAACTTTGAGCTGCAGACCAAAGGTGAGGGCATGAGGCAGATCCCACAGGATCATGACAGGGAGAGCTGCTTCTGGTTCCCAAGCAGCACCTTGAGCACATGGGGGCAGGTTCTCCCCAGGTCTGGCCATTTTCCCCTTCCCTGTTCTGGTCATTTTTCCCGTCCCTGTTCTGGCCATTTTTTCCTCCCACTTCTGGTCAGCTTCCCACACCTTTTGGCTGATCTCCCCCACTCAAGGTTCTGGCCAGTTTTCCCCACAAGTTCCAGCTGGTTTTCCTCCCCAGATCAGTCTAGTTTGCCTTTTAGTTCTGGCTGTTCCCTCCCAATTCCAGCTGGTCCCAACCCACACAGTTTTGGCAAGCATTCCCTCAGTTTTGGCTGTTTTTTCTCCCTCCCCCATTCTGGTCACTTTTCCTCCTCAGTTTCAGCCAGTTCTTCCCCAGCTCTGACAATTTTCCCCCAGAGATGGAGGCCAAGTACACCAGGAAGATGCAGGCACTGCGGGATGAGATGGACCTGCGGAGGAAGACGGAGATCCATGAGCTGGAGGAGAGGAAGAACACCCAGATCAGCGAGCTGATGGGGAACCACGAGGGGGCTTTTGGTGCCATCAAGAACTACTACAACGATATCACCGCCAAAAACCTGACACTCATCAAGCTCCTGAAGGTATTGCCCGTCCCTGTGTCACCCCTCCACCCAGGCACTGCTCCTGCCAGGGTGTCAGCTGGGTCTGGCGGTGCCCAGCTGTCAATGTGGGTGCTGCTGGTGGCCTGTACCCTGGCACACGAGTGGGGAGGGTGTCCTGAGGGTGTGGGGCACTCTGAGGGGCTGGGCAGCTCCACGAAGCAGCACTGGTGTTCCCAAGAACAGGAGCAGGTGGAAGACCTGAGGAAGAAGGAGACTGTCCTGGAGAAGGAGAAGGCAGACGTGCTGCGCGAGAACAAGGGGCTGGCAGAGCCGCTGCAGGAGGCCCAGGGGCTGGTGGCTGAGCTGCAAAAGAAGTTGGTTCACTACCACAGGGACAAGGAGGCCCTGATGGTCAGTGGCTAGCCCTGTCCTTTCATGGGCTCTTTCCTGGAGCGAAAACACTCATCTCTGCCCCTTGGTGTGCTGTGATTGCTGGGCAAAGCAAGTCGTGTTCTGCTTACTGTGTATTTGTGGGATCTCAGGTGGGGATCCAAAGAGAGACTGGAAGGGAGATCAGCCCCACTGCAGGGCGTTTGGTGTGAGTGCTGCCTGGTTTTCTCTCTGCTGCTCACTCTCCTCCCTTCCCAGAACACATCTCCAACACTTCCCAGACAATCCTGTGCTCTTTAACCCTCCCTTCCCGTTCACAGAACTCCAAAGCCCATCTGAAAATCACCCAGAAGGAACTGAAGGACCTTCAGTGGGAACACGAGGTGCTGGAGCAGCGGTTCAGTAAGGTGAGACCTGCAGGCAGAGCTGTGCATCCCATTCCCTCTCCAAACCTTTCCAAACCCTCTGCAGAGGACAGGGCGTGGGGCTCAGCAGAGGCTGTGCTTAGCCCAGGGCTTTGCAAAGCTAATCCAGAGTCGGGTGAGAAGCGCTGCTCCCAGCAAAGCTGCTCCCAGCAAAGCTGCTCGCAGCTCCAGCCTCTCCCACGGTCAGCAGACAGGCCTGGCCTTGTCCTTTGCTGAGCAATCATGCACGCTGCAGCGGGGCCCCGGGCTGCGTGGGGCAGAGCTGGGACAGGGGGCATTGCCACAGCCCCTCCTTCTGCCCTGTGCCAGGGTTGCTCCCTCCCGTGCTGGGGTGCTCGGGAAGAGCCCTGCAGAGTAGTGCTCCCCCCACTAACCCAGATAAATCTTCCGAGGCAGGAGAGAGCTCATTTGCAATTCGTAGAAATCCCCAGGAATATGAACATTGATCCGAGGCCTCATTAACAATCCATCATTAAGACAGCGCCAGATTCAGAGCGTTCAGAAATAGGCTTTGGAGGAGAGACTGTGTCCTAATTAGGACACTTATTAACTAGCTGTAAGCCAAGGACTGCTGCCAGCTGTGGGGATGAGAGGAGAGACCCCCGTGTGCCGGGGGCCCTCGCTGGGGTCTGAACGAGTGCTGCAGGGAGCCATGGGGGCATTCCATGCCTGCAGGGGAGGAGGAGGAGGAGGGAGAAGCGCAGGTGCTGCACCATGGAGGGAGGGAGGGAGGGAAGAAGGGAGGGGGGGAAGCTGTGGCGCAGCACCTGCCTTCCCTGTGGGCTGCAGGTGCCCTGGGGAACGGCCGGGCCGAGCTGCTGGACCAGTTTTGTGCCGTGTTGGTGCTCCACACCACTGTGCAGACCCCCGTGTCCCCTGGGGTCCCGAGGGTGCTGTGACACTGTGCTGCCTCCCGGAGCAGGTCCAGGAAGAGCGAGACGACCTCTATCAGAAGTTCACTATAGCCATTAACGAGGTGCAGCAAAAAACGGGGTTCAAGAACCTGCTCCTGGAGCGGAAGTTGCACGGACTCCTCACCCTCCTGGAGCAGAAGGAGGTGGAGCTCAACGAGGTCGTTGCAGCCTCCAACCTCGACCCCAGCGCTCTCTCCTTAGTCTCGCAGAAGCTGGAGGTACTGGGGCCCGGCGAGGGCTGGATTTGGGGGGCAGAGCCCACTGTGGGGTGCCCGCTGCCCCTGGAAAGCGCCAGTCCCCATCCTACATGGCTGTAGGTGGCAGGTGGCACGTCACTGGTTCCCAGCACTTCAGGGCCACGTGTAGTGCCGCGGGGCACTCGGCTCTGCCTCGGGAGCGGGGCGCGTGGGTGTCGGAGTTTGGCACTGATCTGTCCCTCAGGTGGGGCCTGTTCTGAGGAGCATGGCCGCAGGCTCCATGGCACTGCCACACAGCCAGCTGACTGCCAGCCTGTCCAGTGGCACCCAGGGGCTGTGTGCAGGGGGGGCTGCACCTGGTGAGCCTCGCTTGGCCATGGGGACGGCGCAGACAGGATCCTGGGGCTCTGCGGTGTCTGCCGTGCTAAAAATACCTCTGCAGAGAGCCTGGAGACCCACATTCCTGCTGCAGCTGGAGCCAGGGAGCAGCGCTCGCTGCGGGTTGGGCACAGACACAGGGAACGAGGGCTCCGCCACCTGGTGCCCTCCCGCTTGTCCCCAGCCAGGTCCCTGCTGCAGGGGGAGTCAGGGAAGCTCTGGGGTGCTCTGGGATGCATACCAGACCTATGGGACAGGCAGCGGATGTGTCACCTCCCAGCAGGTGGAAGGAAAACACATTCCTGGGATGGCCTCACTGGCGTCGGGCTCTGCTGCAGCTGCTGGGGTCGCTGAATTCCTCCTCTCAGCTGCCTCGGGGAGCCTGGCTCCCTGTAATTCCCGCGGTGCCGCGGCGGCAGGGTGGTGCTGCTGGAGCAGGTGCTGCCAGCACTCCCCACGCGGCCGGGCAGACCGGGATGGCTGTGGTGTTCATCCCTGTCCCTGCCCGGGGCTGGCTGTCCCTGGCAGTGCCACTCAGAGGGGGCAGGGTGGTGGCCACATGCCAGGCCGTGCTCACAGCAGCTCCTCCGTGTGCTCTGCCACGCCACACCCGCTGGTGGCACGGCCAGCGTGTCCCCAGGGCTGGGCAGCGCAGCCTCAGCCCAATCTCCCCTTGCAGGATGCGCTCAATTCCAAGAATGCCACCATCCAGGACCTGCAGCTCCAGCTGGCCAGAGTCTGCAAGGTAGGGGCAGGGAGGAATCCTGGACAGGTTTAAGAGCCATGTGGATGTGGCACTTGGGGACAGGGGTCAGTGCCAGCCTTGGCGCTGCTGGGGGACCCGTTGGACTCGGTGAGCTTAGAGGCATTTCCAACCCAAACGATTCTGTGACTCCATGGCTTTGGCTCAGGGTTGGAAATGAGCCTGGGGGTGCAGGGAGCTCTCCTCTGCTGACAGAGGGGCTGACAGGGAGCCTTTCCTCACAGGCACACAACGACATGCTGCAGACCTTCGAGGCAAAGCTGACAGCCTTTGGCATCCCCCTGGACAACCTGGGTTTCCAGCCACTGTCCTTCCCCTTCCCGGGGCAGGAACTGGGGCAGGGCCCTGCTGGACTCGTTTCAGTGCCCACCTGATGCTGGCAGCACTGAGGGTCCCACTGGCACACTGGCAGTGGGGCTGTGCTCTTTTCCTGCTCCGTGTCTTTTTACAGACCCCCGTGAGCATCTTCAGGAGCCTCTCCTCCCACGGGGAGCCACAGCTGGAGGGGTCCAGGCATCTCACCCACCCCACCAGGCTGCCCCTGGGGCTACCTCTGTTCCCACAAAAGTGGAAGGAGATTTTTTGAGACAAACGGTGCTGTTTGGAGTTTTTAATGGCATCAGTGGCGTCATTCCTGCGTCCCCAGGGGAAGGCTGTGCCCTTCTAACTGCCCCGGTATGTTGTGTAGGAGTAGGGGCTGATCAGCAGTGGGACATGGAGCTTCTGTGTGGGGTCAGTGATGATGAAGATGACCTGAGGGAGAGTGAGGAGACAGCAGTGGGAATCCCCCTGCCATAGCAAGGCCCAGGGGAGTGCAGCCCCTTGAGCCTGGCCCCAGGCCTCAGACATGCTGTGTCACCCACCCCAGTCTCCCCACACTCCATACCTCCACGAAGGGGTAGAAGCTGGTGTGCCCCAGTCCCTGCCAGTACTCAGCTGTCTCAAAGTGCAGCTTGTAGGTGCCAGCCTTGGCCTGTTCCGGTGCCAGGAGGGACTGGCAGCGCCCATCTGCATCCGTGTGCCTGAAACCAGACCAAGGCAGTCCTGCTGTACCCCAAAACACAGCCCTGCCCCACCCCCAGACCTGCCCTGGCCAGACCCCCAAGCACCAGCCCTGCCACCAGCAAACAAACCCCAGGTAAAGGCTGGGCAGGCAGTTGTGCAGGAGCCTTTGGCCAAGCTCACAGCGCACTGGCAGCAGTGTCCCTGCCCCACTCCTACCACCCAAAGGTGCCAACAGCTCTCCTACCTCTGTGCCAGCTCCGTCCACTGTGGCCCTGGCTCCTGCAGCTGGGCCAGGCGGACAGCGAGGCCGGCTGCCGGCAGCCCCGTGGCCGTGTTCAGCACGTGGGTGGTCAGAGTGCCCTTGCCCACCTCAGCCATGCCGTCAGCCTGTGGCAGAGGGGGAAGCAGGGCTGGGACCTGTCCTGGCAGCACCGTCTGCCTTCTTGCGCTGCAGCCAAGCCCCTGCACTTCACTCTTCCCCAGAGCTGGGATATGGAAAGCCACGTCCTTCCACGTGATGCCACGGTGCTCAGCCCCAGGCACGGCGGCCACGGTGCGTGGGTGCCAGCTGCTTCCCACTAAGATGCAGGGCTCTGTGCTCACGGCAGAACCATGCTCCCTGCTCACCTGCCTGTCCTGGTGGGCCTCGGCACAGCACAGCAGCCAGCCTGGACCCAGCGAGGAAGCAGCCCTGTCCCAGCAGCCCCATCCCTGCCCACAGCGTCACGTGCGGGTGGACATTGACCCTGCCCAGCTCTCTGGAGCTGTTTGGTGTCAAGGTCAGCATTGCTGGGGGCAGCCAGGCCCCTTCTTCTCCTGGAGCTCCCAGGCTGGGACGGAACACGATTCGGGGCTGTGTCAGCAGCCGGCAGGACCAGGCAGCGTCCTTGGAGCCGGACCAGCTCCCACTGCCAGCCCGACACCAACAGCGGCTGATGTGGGGGTGCCACAGAGGCACCCCGGCAATCTTACCTGGCTGTCCTCTGTCCCACTCGGCCAGGGACCTGTGGCGGGTGCCCCCACACAAAACGCCATCCCCGGCCTCCCTTGCTGGCGCCACAGCCTCTCCCCGTGGAGCTGGCGTGGCTGGATGCCGCTATCCTGGCACGGGGCTCCCGCAGAACCGGGTGCTCCTCCCCAGCTGGGCTGAGCTGGCACGGGCGCCTTCCCAGGAGCCCCGCTGGCACCCACACTCCGGCGGCGCTGTGGCCCTGAGGCTTGCGGCCCAGAGCCTGGTGGGAAGGTGGGCCAGGAGGAGCCAAAGCACAGCTGCCATCCCAGTCTTACCTCCCACCACGGAAAGCACCTGGAGCGCATCGGTGCTGCCGCAGCCGGGCACGTGGGGCTGGCAGGAGCCAGCGCCAGCTTCACCGCAGCCTCGCCCTGCCCAGGGCACCGGGGGCTCAGCGCCTCACCTGCACCCTGATGCGGGCGGTGGCGGTGGCTCGCAGCCCGTATCCCCCCAGGTCAGCAGCCTGGATCTCCAGTGTGTATTCAGGGACCGCCTGTGGCAAAAGGCCGTGTCACCCAAAAGTGGGGGATGAGCTCGGTGGGGCTGAGTCCGGGCCTTACCTCTGCCACCAGCCCCGGCACGGCCACGGAGACCAGCCCAGAGCTGCTGTTGATGGTGAACATCCCGGGCTGGGGCTTCTCTGGCACCTGGCTCAGGATGGAATAGCTCACAACGCCATTGCTGGAGCTCACGGCGTCGTCTGCGTCGGTGGCCAGCACCCGCAGCACCGATGTGCCTGGAGCAGGTGGTTATTGCTGACCTGTCACGCAGCCCTCCAGTGCTGCCTGCCAGGGGGTGGCAGTGGTCCCACCTGGCTCAGCTCCCTCCAGCACAGAACCGTGGAAAACTGCCTGCGTGAAGACGGGCCGGTTGTCGTTCTGGTCAGTGACGGTGATGATGATCTCCATGGGGTCTTCCACGGGCTGCCCGTTGGCCGACACGGCGTGGGAGTAGAGCTGCAAGGGCACAGTCAGTGTGTGTGCAGTCCCCAGGCCTGTTCCCGTCCCGCCACAGATGCCCCCTCACTCACCACGTATTTATCCTTCTCCTCCCGGTCCAGGGGTTTTGTCACCTCCAGCCACCCCGTCTCCCGCTCGATGATGAAGACACCCGCGGGGATGGTATCCGCTCCCTGCCCCGTGATGCTGTAGAAAACCTTGGTCTCCTTGTCCTTGTTGGATTTGATCTGGCAGCAGGGCAGGAAGAGGGGGGTGAGACGTGTCCCAGTCCCCCAGGGATCCCCTGGATCCTGCCCGGTCTCCCCGGGCACACGTACCTGTGCCAGCTGCTTGGGGAAGGGTCCCTTGTCGTTCTCAGGGCAGTTGATGGGGGGGATGACCCAGTCCCTCTTGTGCCGCCGGAGGCCGTGTCCGTGCTCTGGGAAGATCAGCGTGTCCTGGGGGATGGAGAGCGGGGCTGCAGGGCCATGGAGGGACACGGCTCTGCCCGGAACCTCCCGGGGATGGCCCTGCAGCACCCCCGGCCCCACTGCGATGGTCCCACCAGCAGGAGGAGGAGGAGGGTGAAGCTGCAGGGTGCCATGGCTGCGGCTGCACTGGCTGCTCCCCCCAGGTGCCAGCCGGGAACCTTCCCTGTTGTGTCAGTGACCTTGGCCAGGAAAGCAGAACCGGCTTTCCAGAGCTGCCAGCCCCGGGGGGGTCTGGGGGCGCCGTGTGGGGGGACCCAGCACACGAGATGCTGCTCCAGGCTGGGGGGGATGATGGAGTGCAGGAACCCCCTCCGTGGCCACGGGAACCCCACTGCCGTGGGGCTGGGGGGCACACACAGCCCCCCGAGAGTTCCAGTGCACCCACAGGCGGCAAAGGGGGAGGAGGCACCCAGGGGGGCACGGGGGAATGGGGAGGGGGGCTGCTCCTGCTTGGGGCGGTGGTGGGAGGTGCCACGGGAACACCGGGAGGGACAAACGGCGGGACCGCGAAGGAGCCTGGAGATACCGGGATGCCCGGGCGTGTCCACCGGGCTGCGCTGAGGGGCTGGGGGGGACAGCGGCGGGGGACGGGGCACCGGGGGGCGGCACTGACAGACCTGGGGTGCCCGGTGGGGAGTGCCCGGTGCCCGAGAATTGCCGGGCCCTACCGGGGAGTGCCAGGGGGCTCCAAGGCGATGCCGATGGGCTCGGACCAGGGAGGTCCCCGACGGGGGTGACCAGGGAGGTGTCGCGGATTGCCGAGGGTTGCCAGGGCGTTCCAAGAGGCTACCAGGCGGTGCCCCAGGGCTCCCGGGAGGTTTTGCGGATTGACAGGAGGATTTCAGGGGGCTGCCGGGTGTGCCCGGAGGGTATTGAAGGTTCCAGTACCGGCCGGTGCCCGAGCGGTACCGGGCTGTGCCTGGATCTTGACGGGTGGGTGCCTGGGAGGTAACATGGGGTACTGGGGATCGCCGGAGGGTTTCAGGGAAATACCGGGCATGCCCCGGTGGTACCGGGGTGTTGCATCGGGGGTTGCCGGTGGTTTCCAGAGGGGTACCGCGGTGTAACGGGGGCTGCCGGGGGTGTTGTAGGGGGTGAACGCCAGGATGGAGGGTCCCGGGGGTAACTGAGGGGTCCAGGGCATTGCCAGGGAATGCCTGGGGCGTGCTGGGGCCGCTCTCCGGGGCGGGGCGGTACCTGCGCGGCCGCCGCCTCACCTGGGGCGTTGCGGGGCGGGGCGGGGCGGGACGGGACGCGGCAGGCGGCGACCGGAGAGGCGGCGGCAGCGGCGGCAACGGACGGGCCATGCGGGGGCCGCGCTCCGGGCTCTGCCCGCTCTCCATCTTCATCCTCCTCCTCCTCTCCCCGCTCCTGCCGGCGGCCGCCCTCTCCCCGGCCCCGCCGTGCGTCCTCCCGGGGCTGCGCCGCGGGCCGCTCCCCGCACCAGGTAACTCACACCGTCGGGGCGCGGCGGTACCGGGACCCCCGGAACATCCCGGGGACGGGCTGGGGCCGTGATCGGGACCGGGATCGCGGCTCCGAGCACTGGAGGGGGGCGGCAGGGCCTCCCTCACTGCCGGGATCAGGATCGCTTTTCCCCCGGTGCTGGGGCCGCTGCTTTTCGGGAGGACCTCGCAGTGCCTCGGCTGTGGGGCTGCGCCGTGGGGCTGGCTGGGCTCCTGTGGTCTAAGGCTGTGCTCCCCCCCGGGCCGTGGGGCTGGCTGTGCCCCGCGGGGCCGGCGGTGCCCGTCTGGTCTCACTGGGCTGGTGGCGGCTGATGCCAGTGCCTTTGGCCAAGCCTTGGGGCGCCCGCTGCGAGCTGGGCTGGGACCCCGCAGGGTGGGCGGCCGGCGCCGGGCTGGCAGTGGGGCTGGGTGCCCGGGGGCCACCCTTCTCCGGCTGTGGGGTGCGGGCTCTGGCTGGCCTGAGGCTGGGCAGGGGCTTGCTGCTGCCAGCTCTTGGCCCGCTGCCGGAGCTTGGCCCGGGCCCGCTGCCCTCTTCGCTCGGCGGCTCCCGGGAGACTGGGGCTGCCCGGGAACGCGGCCCGAGCCAGCGCTCATCTAATGGCCGCGGGAGCACTAAAAGCTCTCCTTGGCGGTAAGTGCTAGGGAGGGGCCTCGACCTCTGTCTGCTGTGGACACCACATCCCGTTTCACATCCCTTTTCCATCAGCTAAGCCTGCCAGGACTGGAGGTGGGCGCTGCCAGGCCCCTGCTGCGGGCACAGGCTGGGGTCTGGCCGTGCCACCGCGACCCCCGTCCGTGGGCAGCACATGGCCCCGGCACCGACCGAGCGGCTCCGCCTCGGCACCCAGCGGGCGCGGTGCCCTGTGGCCCTCCATGGAGGGACCCCGAGGACATGGTGGGGTACCCCCTGTGCCCTTCGGAGGGAACAGCAAGCCGTGCCACAGCTGGGAGCGGGGCTGGGGGCTCCCCACGGCGGGGGCTGGGGGCTTCCCCGGGCTCCCAATGCCCAGCTTGCCAGGGTGACTGATGCCCCTCCAGCCCTGTTAAAGTTCTTTATCGCGGCCATCGCGACTGGGAGGGGCCCCGGCGCTGCCCTCGGGGCACGGTTGCTGCTCCCCACACGGCCCCACCGTCGCCCTCGGGCTCGGTCCCTCCGGTGTGGAGCAGCCGTGGGGCACAGCTCTCCCTGCCCCATTCCACACCTTCCGCAGCCCCCCCGGGCCGCTCGGCCGCCCGGAGCTGGCTCAGCTCCGCTAATCCCCTAATCCTTCCCCCGGGGGGTGCGGAGCCGGGGCTGTGTCCGGCACGAGGGATGCAGCGTGGGAGGCGGGGGAGGGAGATTCAGTGCCCAACGATCTGGCCACGGGGGGTTGGGAGCCCCGAGGGGGTGACACACCGGGAGGGGGCTGGGGCAGGGCTCTGCCCGCGCAGGAATTTCCCATCATCTGTGAAACAAAGCCGAAACTTCCACCGAAACTTCCACTGCGCTCCCGTACGGCGCCCGGTGTTCCCTGCCCCGCTCCCGGTGTCCTCTTCCCCTCTTCTACCGTCCCCTGGCTCACTCCGCCTCGGCACTCTGGGGGATTGCAGGGTCCTGGAGCTGGTGGTTGCGGCTCGGGGGTGTCGGGGGAGAAGTTCCCCCCACCCCCCTGACCCCTCACCCTCGCAGGGAGCTCCGGAGGCTGCGCGGGGCCGTACAGGACGGAGGAGCCCGATGTCGGGGTGCGGGAGGACGGGGGCCCCGTGCGGCTACCGGGGCTGGGCAGGGCGCTCGCCGTACCCCCCCGAGATGCTGGTTCTCCCCGATATGCCGCTGGCCAGCCAGACCCTGGCCCAGTTCCCGCAGAGAGCAGGCGCTCCCCCCAGGTAACGCTGCACCGCATATCCCCCACCCCCTGCTCCCCCAGCCGGCTGTGCCCTCACTCACCCCCATCCCACAGGAGCTGCCCGGGGCTCGCGCTGTTCTCAGGAGGCAGAAGAGGGATTGGGTGATCCCCCCCATCAAGGTTCCTGAAAATGAGAGGGGCCCCTTCCCCAAAAAGCTGGTTCAGGTACGACACTGGGCAGTCTGGGCATGGGGGTGGGTGCTGGGGGTGCATCCCCGCTGCATCGAGCAGGGTGTGGTGGGGTGGGGGATTCTGACCTCAGCCCCTTGGTCTGTGTCTCCTCCCAGATCAAATCCAACAGGGACAGAGACACCAAGATCTTCTACAGCATCACCGGGCAGGGAGCGGACGCCCCTCCCGAGGGCATCTTCACCATTGAGAAGGAGTCGGGCTGGATGAAAGTAACGCAGCCGCTGGACCGCGAGCACATCGACAAGTACCACGTAGGTCCTTGCCTGGGGACACCAGAGGGATGTTGGGGTGCTGTGCCAGGCCCCCCACTCACACCCCACCCCGCAGCTCTTCTCCCACGCCGTGTCTGAGAACGGGAAGCCCGTGGAGGAGCCGATGGAGATCATCGTGACAGTGACGGACCAGAATGACAACAAGCCCCAGTTCACACAGGAGGTGTTCAGGGGCTCTGTGCCAGAGGGAGCTCTGCCAGGTAGGACCCCGGGCCTTGGGGAAGCTCTGCATCCCACCAGCCGTATTCCTTGGGCACAGCCTCGGCACTGTGCCCCCCAGCATCCCACTTACCTGCACACCCACATCCCCAGGCACCTCCATCATGCAGGTGACAGCCACGGATGCGGACGATGCAGTGGAGACCTACAATGGTGTCATTGCCTACTCCATCCTCAGCCAGGAGCCACGGGAGCCCCATCCCCAAATGTTCACTGTCAACCGGGCCACTGGCACCCTCAGCGTGATTGCCAGCGGCCTCGACCGGGAGGTGGGCTCTGCAGCACTGTGGGGCAGGGTCCCAGCCCCAAGCAGGGACTGACACAGTGTCTGTCTGTCTGTCTGTCTGTCTGTCCACCACAGCGTGTGCGGGAGTACACACTGACCGTGCAGGCAGCTGACCTGGATGGTGAGGGACTGACCACCACAGCGCTGGCTGTCATCGAGATCGCCGACGTCAATGACAATGCCCCCGAGTTTGACCCCAAAATGGTAATGTGGGCACCCCCACTGGTGTGATTCTCCTGGTGCCCGCTGGGCCGTGGTGCTGATGATGCCCCTCACCTGCAGTACGAGGCGGCCGTGCCGGAGAACGCGGCCGGGCAGGAGGTGGCCCGGCTGGCTGTCACCGACCTGGACGAGCCCGGCACGCCGGCGTGGCGAGCCGTCTACTCCATCCTGCGCGGCAACGACGGGGGTGCCTTTGCCATCACCACCGATCCCGCCACCAACGAGGGCATCCTCCGCACTGCCAAGGTCTTTGTCATCCCATGTCCCCCATGCTGCCCACGGAGAGTCCTGCCTGTCCCACTGTCACTGCCGGTGTCTCCCCCTCTGCCAGGGTCTGGACTATGAGGCCAAGCAGCAGTTCGTGCTCCACGTGGCAGTGGCCAACGAGGTCCCCTTCGTCGTGAAGCTGCCGATGGCCACTGCTACGGTGACTGTCACTGTAGAGGATGTCAATGAGGCCCCGGAGTTCGTGCCACCCGTGCAGCTGGCCACGGTGTCAGAGGATGTGCCCCCGGGGCAGACCCTCACAGCCTGCATGGCCCAGGACCCTGACAAGGCACAGGGCCAGACGAT